GAATGACGACTCTCCAGTTAGTGCAATGTTTGTTTGTTTTTTCATTGTGAAGACTTGGGCAATGAGATGTAAAAACATCAAGACTAAACAGCAAGTCTTACTCCAGTAAAGGCAGAAATGGATGGATTGATGGAGGAAACCGTATTTTAAATTTTAAGTTAGCTCGCTTATGAAATACTGGCATGCCAAAGAAACAACTGATTGCTTCCTTTGGGAATTATATAGGCCAACTGGTAATTTTAAATGCCATGGGTGTGAATTTGAGAGGCTGTCTGTTTCTCTGTATTGGCCCCAATGTGGACTGATGAACTGTCCAGGGCCTTTTGGCAGATAAGCTGGTTCCAGTCTAACTTTTAAATAAAATCTCACGTTTAAAGATTCAGTGGAATATATTGCCAAGATTTGTTACTTATAAATATACTTATCCAGAAACAGTAATACCATTATGAATGATCTGAAATGTGGTGCAGATATTTTGTGACGGAGGAAAGTACAAATATCAGAATTATATAACACACACAATCATGTAATTATGTAATTACCTAGCAAATTCTGCCCATTACACCCTACTTTTATCTTTTATTCAGTAAACACTGCATAGGGGATGACTGAGTAGACCAGGGGTAGGCAACTCCAGGCCTCAAGTGCCGGTGTCCTGCAGGTTTTAGACATCACCCTGTGTCAACACAGCTGAATCAAATCATTAGTTCATTCCCAGGCCTCTGGAGAACTTCAAGACATGTTGAGGAGGTAATCAGCTGTGTTGGATCAAGGACACATCTAAAACCTGCAGGACACCGGCACTCGAGGCCTGGAGTTGCCTACCCCTGGAGTAGACAATCTGAACACAATAGAACAAATCTGTACAGTGGGAACAGATTTCCACCTACCTGCCAACTTAATACTTCAACAGGTTAAAGTAGATCTCCAAAGGTTGATTCTGTTCATCTGGACGTAGCGTTTTGTGTGACTGAAACCAGCACACTGAAGGGACAATGGGCTGGGAGGTCAGTTCCTTAATCTTAATTATGCAAATTCTCATGACCATTGATCAACAACCACTGACCAAAACCCACTGATCAAAGACCACTGATCTATAGCCCCCTCCTCAATTCTGAATCATCCCTTCAGTGGGCTGGTTTCAGTCATTATGCAAATGTACTGTTAATAAGATTTGGGGAAACCTGCAGTCAGCTGAGACTGAAGAAGTCACTTGGATGAGTGAAGAAACGTTTCTCCCACAAAACGCTACGTCCAGATGAACAGAATCAACTTTTGGAGATTTACTTTCCTGGATGATTGAGAATGCATCAAGACAAAGGTTAAAATAGAGTTTTTGTGTTGTGTTGTTGTGGGTGTGCAAATGTGCAAATTTATCTGAATTACAACAATAGAGTCTAATGAATTAGTATCATCAGTACCTATAAACAGACACCCACATACAGATTAGCGAGGTGTATTTTACAGAGCTTGAGGCTATGATTTCTACATGGCCTGGTTTCAGAGCATACTGAACTAAACAGAATCAATTCCTTTTTCAAATCTGTGTAATCAGTCTCTCTCTCTCTCTTTTTCACCAGTGTTATAGTTTCCATTATGGGTCTGACTGGGTGAGTGACGTATATTTCACCATCACATGGTGAGCAGGAGGTTCTGTGAGGATGTTTGTGTGCCTGCCCAATATGAGGACACCAAATACACATTTCTCCTCCAACCCCAGAGGGGCAACAACTTGAACACGGTGTCGCTGCAGGTTTTACTCCCAAGAAAGTAAAATCCCATCCATATACTCCCTTACAAACATACATCTCAGATAAAGTAAAAATTATGATGGTACATTATGAAGGTTTTTGGTAGCAAAAGTATGATAGAGTACAATGCTGCAATTTCAAACAGATTTGCATTAGAGCAGTATACCACTGTATAAAGAAAAATGAGCTATTTGTGAATAAGTTACGTTTTAAACCAACCCGAAGCAAACTGAAAGAAAATGCACTTGCAGTCTGGATGTTACTTACACAGTCTGAATTTGTAAGTAGGCAGAAAACAAAGACGGAAGATACAACAGATATAATCTTGAGCTCTAATTGATGAGTTTTTATAGCCCATACATTCCATTAATACTGAGTAATACGCCTAATATGAAGATGAAAAACACATTTGTATGAAAGTGGGTTGGTCAGGCTGTCCACCTGGGGAGTACTTCAAGTCAGGCTGTCCACAGGGCATCCTGTTAAAAGCTGCCACCTGGTGAACTCTCGCTGACTGAGACCGACAGCTCTGAGACTCTCAGAGAAGGTTCACAGAATATACTCGTGGTGGTTACTTCGCTTTACCAGATTACCCTGTGCCTGAACTATTGTAATATTTCCAACAGCTTTTTCTCTCTCACACACACACAGTGAGAAAATCTCCATCACTGAGCATCAATAGCTGGCTGAGACAGCATTGTGACACAATCAGAGCATTATGACAGCAAACGCTGAAGACTATGGCGTTATTTTTGTGCCACTATTCTGAGCGCACGTAAAAAAAATTTAAGCGCAAGTAAAAAAGTTTGCAGGTGCAAGTGTTGCATTTTGAGAAGAAATTTATTTTGAGTGAAGAAAAGCTGAATTTGAGTGAACAAAATTCATTGCTGCGTGCAAAAAATGTATTTCAGTGTTTGCTATTGTCCACACACACACAATAGCAGCCCCTCAGTTTTTGTATTTGCGCTCGCTCGCAATGTGTTGCTCGCGCTCTCAACATTTCTGCCCGTGCGCGTTCAACTCTTTGTGTACGCCGTTATATTTGTGCCACAAAACCAGCCAATCACAGACTTGGATGCAAAAATATCTGATTGGCTCTTCTGGTCTACAATCAGCTCCAAATGATGAAATGCAATATCCCAGAATCCATTTAGTCCAAAACTCAAACGAGGCAGTGGCGGAGGAACACAGAGTGGCGGAGTTTAAAATATTACTCTTTCTGGGGCACAAAATAAACTTTTAAGATATTTTCATGCGAGAATGGTGTTCATCAAGACATCACATATTTCCATAAGTGCTCTAATGTTTTCGGAGATGCCTGTTACCCACCAGCTGACCGCATAGCTGGACTGGTCATTGGGCATACCGGACATTTGCCTGGTGGGCTGATGGTGATTTTTCATTTTTATGTTTGTTTTTGTAACGGTATAAACAATGAAAGGTGGTGAATTAGCCAATTGGTCATGATCAACTCTGGGCTGGACCAATTACAATACATCGTATTGAGAGGAAAAGGAAAGCGATTAGTACCGTACTTTAGCTAGAATGAAAAAAAGACAAAGCTGGAGTTAGTCTGTCTTTACGTTGCACAGCTGCCTCTTCTCCCCTCATTCTCTCTCCCTCCCTCTCCTGTTGCTACTTCAATCATGAAACCGATCAATGATCAGCTGATCGTCTCTCTTGTTTATCTCCCACTTTGCGCCATAAACAGGAAACCAGCGGATGTTGCGCTAAACAACAACAGCAGCACGTTCAAGCTTGATAAGCTGTTGTTAGAATTTATTTAAAATTACTTTCTAGTATCAGCTGATGTTTGTGGGAGCCACAGCTATAAAAGCTGCTGCTCATGATATCGGTTTGGAAACATGAAGGTGATACAAATCATGCATATATACCAACAAGACAGTGTACATCACTGTCACAACAGCGTTTGTTTTCGTTCAAAGGCTTTATGGTTTTTCCTATAATACCTGGTGGGGTAGTCGGTGATTTTTTTGTCAGTTCAGCCTTTTATATTATGTTTAACCCGAGTTCCCACCCGGTCAGCTGGTGGGTAACAGGCATCTCCGAAAACATTAGAGCACTTATGGAAATATGTGATGTCTTGATGAATCGAGCAGATATTTGAAGCTTACACAGCACCATTCTCGCATGAAAATATCTTAAAAGTTTATTTTGTGACCCAGAAAGAGTAATATTTTAAACTCCGCCACTCTGTGTTCCTCCGCCACTGCCTCATTTGAGTTTTGGACTAAATGGATTCTGGGATATTGCATTTCATCATTTCGAGCTGATTGTAGACCAGAAGAGCCAATCAGATATTTTTGCATCCAAGTCTGTGATTGGCTGGTTTTGTGGCACAAATATAACGGTGTACAGAAAGAGTTGAACGCGCACAGGCAGAAATGTTGAGAGCGCGAGCAACACATTGCGAGCGAGGGCAAATACAAAAACTGAGCGAGAGGGGCTGCCATTGTGTGTGTGTGGATAATAGCAAACACTGAAATACATTTTTTGCACGCAGCAATGAATTTTGTTCACTCAAATTCAGCTTTTCTTCGCTCAAAATAAATTTCTCCTCAAAATGCAACACTTGCACCTGCAAACTTTTTTACTTGCGCTCAAATTTTTTTTTTTACGTGCGCTCAGAATAGTGGCACAAAAATAATGCCATAGAAGACCACAAGGCAAATTCTGTCCTGGGGAGAAGCTCTGGCTGCTCCTTGCATTCACACATTGACATGTGCATGCGTAAACACATTTTTATACACCCATACACTCACATGTGCACATACCCACAGGCATACAGGAATAGCTGTCACACAAACACACACAGAGTGTGTGTTTAGCTTGCTCAGATCTGAAAGATAAACGCACAGCTAGACACGAGCATCCACATATCCTCCAACATATCAGGTACATACACACATATGCGAAAACATACAAATACTGTTCCGAGCCCACAGTGAGTAACTCAACCAGTGCAAAGAAAAACATTAGCATTCTGTCAGGGTTTCAGACAAGACTGCACCAGCTCCTCACACAGCCAACATGCAGCAGAGCATAACAACGGAATGAAAGCCAGTGCATAGACAGGTAGTCTGGGAACGGTAAGGAAGTGTTTGTGAATAACTGGAGACAGAAAGTTGAAAAACAAAAATTCAGAAACAGAGGGTAAAAAAAGGATGTCTTTACAACAGAGGTAATGGCAAAATTAAATTAAAGAGATGATGAAAGCAACTGGGGTACCTTACTATTGAGCCTGGCCTTCCTGGCTTCTTTAGCTTTTCTTTCCTTTTTTTCAGCTGATTGTCTTTGTCTTCTGGTCAGAATGGATCCCATCTCACACACACACATGGACACACTCTCCACCACACGCGCAGTCCCGTAGGTCAGCTACAGTTTGAATGCCAAAACATCCTCCACATGGCCATATCCAGCCCCCCACCCTCCTCCTTGTTGTCTACTCTCTTCTTGTTCTCACTCCTTCTCCTTCAGTACCTTTCGTCTCGTCTAGCACGTGCAGACTCACCTGGTCAGTGAAACAAACACTCACCCGAACCTGGACCAACACACAAACTCCTGTGCATACACAGACAGACGGAGAGGTGGTAAGGGGTTATTTTGCAGGATGCTGGAGAGAACAGAGGGAAAGTGCGGAGGGAGGGGGAGAGAGAGAGCAAGAGAAGAGGGAGGGAACACAGAGGGAGGAGAGAAAGTGTGTGATAGGGGGAGGGAAAACCAAAAGAGAAAAAGAGAGAGTGAGAGAGGGTACCATGCTGAGGGAAGGTATGGATATCAAATGCAAACAGAAATGTGTAAAGAAAAAAAAGAAGTGTGTTCTTAAATATACAGCAGGTGCTGGTTCAGTCTGCATTAATATAGCAACCTGCTGAAAATCTTATTCGTTATAGTCGAGGAATTTATGCCAACTGACTAACGTGTTTCTGAAAACACAAACTGTCTATAGTTACACTAAACATGCTTCGACACATACAGTATGCATGCATGCACACACTGTATGGTTAAACACATCAAGAGCATTTTGCATTAGAATCAGTGACATCAATTTTAGCGGGCGTGCCCTTCACTGGGAAGACATTTTTTAAATCCCAGGTTCCATGTCTGTATTTGTTTGGGGCATGTGGATGAGCTCGAATGAACCGAGAGTATTCTTGTTCGAACCCGATTTGTCTTTACTGTCTTCAAAGAGCTACATTTCTCTCCTGGTAGGGGCTTATCCATTAGGGGCGCTTTTCCATGTGAGGGCTTCCCAACTGGAAATATACTTTCATCCTGTGCCATGCAGATACGTGTATCATATTGGCTGTGTTTGCAAAAACAGAAGCATGCTAGGCTAGTTTAGGCACTCAACAAAGGCTTTGTGGAAACTCATAACAATATCACACCCACGATGGGCTGCATTCACTGTGTAGTTTTATTTTAAATTGAAAATAATGCAGGAATTCTCATTCATAAATACAAAGAAGTGCTAGCACAAATACAGAGCCGCAGTGCTGGGGGATTAGAATTACTATAGATTATATGATGGAGCCTTTTGTGCATTATGCTTGTCTACACTTGCACATTAACAACAATGTGGCATAATGGCTTAGCTTGTGAATAACTGCACATAAGAACACAGATTTCTACCCAAACTCCGAGCACATTTTACACTTTGATATCGGGTGCCAATGAACAATGCAAATATAACAATAGCGCATAAGATATTCTCTTGCTCCACTTTGTGCTCTTTGGCATCATGACCACATTAACAAATAGTGCATTACTAAATGCGTTTTGCACTGCCCTGCAGCTTACTGCTACTATTTACTCTCAAGTATAAGACGAATCATTTTCCATTCAGTCCAATGCAGGATGTTAATAATAACCTTTCTTAGCATTTATTTTACAAGTAAGTGAAACTTCATAGACAGAAAACAGACAACTCCCTGCAAATCCACACAGACATGTTGTACTCAGGGCCACGACCCAGGTTTAGATGATAAGCAAATCACTTTGCAATCATTCTTTTTTATTCACATTTTACAAAACAAAACTTTTATGGAAAAGGGCTTATATACATGCACATACAGTATGTATTTGATGCTGTAAAATACTGTAGACAGAGGTTTTTCAAGTACAAATCAAGTTTAAAGTATCAAACAAACACTGGGTCTATGTGACTAAGTTACTTAAAAGATAATAAAGTTTTTCTATCACTGGAAGGCCTTTTTTACTCTGTAAGAAAGCCACCCATTCAGCGCGTCGGTCTATTACGTGGCCGACCGCCTACACCCAACGCCCACACACATGCACTCTTTATTACAAAAAGAATATGGTATAAATTTTACATGAAGCCACCAAGCTTAACCAGGACAGTTGCAGGGTGAGGCCTGGTTGGGCAAAGGGAGAAAATGAAAGGGAAAATCCTATCAACTATGACCCAATTTTATAGTTTACCCTGTGGCTAATGAACTCCATGCAAGCAAACTAGGGTAATGCTTGACCCCTGCTTGCTGCAGAATGAATACCCTAGTACCAGCCAAGGCTGCAAGACTCATCCAGAGCAGGATTCCACCTCTTACCCCTTAAGTCATTATGTCATAAAAGAAAATCTGCTATTTAAAAAAAGGAATAAAATAAAAGTTGTTTTGTTTTTTTTTGCTTAAAGCTCATGCTCACTGATGCAAACACATATTCTGACCTCAAAAAGCTTATATAATTCAAAAATGATAATGACAATTGGGATTAAGTAAATGCCAACGTTTGCCATTCTTCTGAGAAATAGAGAAAACAGAGCAAGCTGAAATCTAACTTGAACATGACCTTGTTATAGATTAAGAGCTCTACTGTGGACAATTACACCAGCGACTGGCAGTGACAACCTTTTAATATTCAATATAAAATTCTTTAAACACACTGACATAAATGCCAGTACACAGTGACAGATACGGCATTGATCAATATTTAAGTAAATATGTGGACAGTGACACAGTTTTGCCTGTGTAAACCACAGATCAAACAGTAAAGCTGTAATTTAAGATTATCCTCTCAGGTTTAACTCAAGGATTAAAAAAAAAAAATGTACACACAAGTGGTGCATTACCTGTTCAGGATTTACACCCATTTTTATACATTCTCCCCCATTTTCAGAGGCTCATGTGCCACGTGTTGTCTGTTCCCTCATTATTCCATGACAAAAATAAAAGATCTGGAGCTCATTCCTTGTGTGAAACCTGCATTTGTTTGCTTTTCATTGGAGCTGTCTATACCGGGTCCAAAAATGTACAAAAATTGTGCCACTGTGAATATCTAGGGAGATAACTGTAAGTTTAAATCCACTAGTGGAAAAAAAGAATCTTTTAAGTTTCTGCAGCTTATGCGGCAAAATAACCACACTTATTTTCTCCAATAAAACAGCTGTCACTAAATACTTACTTGTGAAATATAGCATAGCCTTCACAGCCCATTCACACTTTGAGCTTTGTACTCTGTAAGCCAGTGTTACATAGAGCTGCACATAACAAATTGTGTCTTTATAGGTGATTTATTGCATGAAATGACTCTCTAAATTGCAATCGTGCAGAAATTGATCCTCGCTGAGTTTGTCAGTTGAGCACCACTCACTCACACTTTGGCACAGCAGTGTAACACAGAAGCAGAATACAGCACTTCACACCAGACTGCCTTAACAAGAGAAATAATTGAGTGCACGACTCATACTTGTCACTGCTTTTCTGCATCTTCATCTCATTCACCATTTTGTGTTTTGTTGTAGTTTGACACTTTTCAACAGCGCAGCAGAGGACCCTCACAACCCCGTGAATGTACAGATGATAGTAATCAAAGCCAAAAATCATGATCAATTAACTCAAAGTTTCTCTATGCAAACGCAACCAAGTTCAGTGACGTTTTTGTCCCACACATGCTTACTCTGCAATTTTTCAACATTTATATATAAAATTCAAAACTTAGCAATGAATGCTCCAAACCTGAGGATCTATCCCATAAGGCAGACCTTCCCAAAGTGTGGGGCCCGCCCCCTGGGGGAGCGCAGAGCCATTGCAGGGGGGGCGCGGTATGAAAGGGGGGAGGGGGGGAGGACAAAATGCTTGGACACTGCTCGGCTCCCACACAAACGCAAAGCAGGAGATGAAGCATAGCTGAGTATGTTTCCAAACCAACTTCATTCTAAGCCAAAGACTAGAAAATATGGTGAAGCATATCTTCCCTTTGGCTTCACCTGCACAAGTGCCGAGGTAGGTCTCCCCTGCAGAATTAGTTTTCCCTGTGTCGGGAGCAGCGCTGGGCTGTTCAAATCACGGACAAACAGTATCCCACACTTGTTTATGTTTTTGAACTCATTTTGCACAGAGAGGCATTTTTTGAAAAATGTATTGATAGCAATGTTGAATATTTTTAAAGAGGAAAAAAAACCAACTACATGTAAAATAATCACACTATGATGCCTTTGCCTTTGTAAATAGAGGGACAGTAACTGCGTGTGTATATGTAAGCGTGTAAAACCTGCAGATAGTGAGATTAACAGTAACAATATTTTGTCTATCTGCTATTCTGCAATTCCTCTCATGTAAACAATAACGTGGCGCACAGCGTGACGTGAAAAAAGGCACATACCTTTGACGTTGCGCAACGAACTCTGTATTCCTCGTCCACACGTAAACGCAAAAAAAGGAGTTTTAAAAAAATCTCAGTTTTCGGTGATTCGAAACACCGTTTACGTGTGGACCAAACAGCTGCGTTTTCAAAAATACCCGTGTAGGTGCGGACGTAACGTAAAAGAGTTAGTAGTTTAATTTTTTGTACTACCTGTCATTTATTGCAGTTTACTTGTATTTGCTTAATTGTTTACTAAATGTTTGAGGTGTGAAATAAATTGCAATGGAGCAAAATATGGGTGTGTGTGGTTGGAGGATGTGTTTGTGCGTGCACGCGCGGGGGGCAAACATTTTCTTGTAAAACAAAGGGGGGCCTAGCAAAAAAAGTTTGGGAACCACTGCCATGAGGCAACATTTTGCCCTCTATGTTTTTTGTTTTCTTTTTAGTGATTTTTTTAGAGTGTTGAACATTTTCAACACTAGAGAATCTTTCATATGAAATGTATCCCTGAAACAAAATGGGACACTTGCTTAACGTCCTCAAACATTAAATATTCAAGTAGTACACACAAGCACTCAGTAACACAATGTGTATAACTTTGACTACCCTATTAATAACATTTAAAAAAAAGAAAAACACAACAGACTTTTAATCAATAGCTTCAAACCACCAACTGTTACTAGGCAGTTGGGTTAGTTTCTATGATTGTGAGGATTAGCAATACAATTAAATTTTCTCATGGGATTACACAAAGCTCTGTATAATCAGCTATTAAACTGTTCTCACAAGTCTTAGTCGATTAATTGTAAAAAAAAAAAGAGCATATCTAAGAACATTAGCCACACATTAGGGGTAACAGCAGTGCACTCCATGATCTAATGTTATGTTTTTCTTTTTTCATTAAACTGTAATGTGAAGCAGTATTTTTCAATAATGTCTGCCTGCAAGAAAAGCACATGCCAAATAACAAACATACCATTTTCTCATGGAGTTTAGTTAAAATTGAAGCTTTTTTAAAATAAATAAATAAATAAATAAAATAAGGGTGAAAAGAAGAAAATGATGAAAACAGTTTTTCCAGAATTTCTTCCCTGCAGCAGCTCTACATCCCTCTGTAGCAGACAAAAGTACACAAACACAGTTTGAAGTTCTGGCGTTCTCTCCAGTGCAAATCTCCTGCCATCTGATGGGGTCTGATGCAAATGCATTCACGTCTCTCTCTAGTCTGCTCCACTCCAGTCTACAGACACACACACACACACACACACACACAGAAAACCTGGACTTCACAAGTAACTATTTACTGTCATCTCCTGCTATACCACACCTGCCACCTGCACCTGTCCACCTCAGCCTTGTACTACGAAGCCTGTTTAAGATACTCAGGATGTCTGTTTTTGTTATCTGGCTTCAGGTAACCCGACATAATGAAGCAGGCTAAGTCATCACATAAAGGTGGTTATCAGCACAATAAGTAAACCCAGGGTTTCCCATTCTGGCTAGCTCTGCAGGTTTACAGCACAAAAAAGTATTTTTGCATGCTTGCAGCCAACAAAGGAGAAAGTGTAACAGTGTTTATGTGGTATTATTCCACTTGCCACAAATATCAGTGTAATGGGGAAACAGCGCCCCGCCTCTCGGTGTGGCTGGTTAGGTGAGGCTGGCTGCAGTAATCGCTGCCAGTCTGCCGTAGCCATACGAGAGGTGAGTTGTATTTACCGCACACAATGTAGCTAAATAGTACAGACACATAAACCATGTATGATCAACTGATGGGCACCGAGTGTAATAAGTGCTTAGTGGACACATGTGCAACATCAGTTTTATGTACTTTTCATTTGTTTATTAATGTGTGAAACTGTATGCTAAAGTGGAATGCTAATGGGATGTTCTGCCATAGTGTGCTGTGCGGAGTGGTGTGTGGCGAGCCCTTTGCACTGATAATACACCGTTGTTTGCATTCAGGAAATAAACTGGCAACGATCGATCAGAGACTCCTTGTCTTCTTAAAAACACAACACAACGCAGAGTCGAGGTGTCTGTTTGGGCCGAACTGTTGCAGCGGGGTGAAGCAGAAACTGGTTACAAAAGCAGCAAAGCAAAAGTTAATGGATGAAGTTCAATCTATATAATTTAATACTCACAGGGGAAAACTTTAGACACCACTTAAAAACTTTAGACCCTAGTCCTAGGGATCTTACAGGAATGGACATCTGATTGATCAGTGGTTGATATTTTCATGCCTTTTGATTTCCAATCTTGAACATAACTTGAAGCATGGAGATGCAGCTGGATATGGAGGGAACCACTTCCTTAGTACTGAAAACCCATGGACAACCTTAAAGTTACCCGAAAAACCCAAATCCAGCTTCACAGAACAGGCCACAGTTGTACTCACTAAATTCCTGCTGCAAGCAATTATATCATCAGTCACCTGTGTGCACACCTGGTTCCCATTATTTCATGAATAATATTAATAGTGCCCAGCAAATATGCGTGCTTTGCCAGATTATCTAGGCTGCCCAGAAGACAATATTTATCCTGCTCTTCTTTTCTGTATTTGAGACCACCTGCCTGGGCCTCACAAATGTCTGCCAACACTAGCCTTTTGGTTCTGTTTGCCACTTTATACTGTGTCTGTGAGCCTGCTGATCCACCAAGCTTAGTTTACCAAACCTGCCTTCTCTTCTGCAGTCTGTTCACATCCGGTTAGCAACATGCCCTTACACATATTTTTCAATATATGAATTAAAAGTTGCATTTCAATCACAAAAGATTTGAAATTTGTTTTACCTTGCACTTATACATGCATTAAGCACATATTGTTTCTGACAAAAAATTATACTAAGCAAACAAAATTAGTTCAGGATTGCAAATCATGTTGTTTCCTGTTCTGTTTCCTAGTTGAATAGGAAATCATGCATTTTACAAAAGAAATTTCAGTTGTATTTTGACAAAAAAGCAATTATACAAGTTTGGGAAAAGCTCGGGATGAATCATACTAGTGAATGTGGCCCTATTTTTTCCCTGAATATTTTATTGTGCCACAGTAACACACAAAAGATCTAGTTTATGTTTATGTGACATCTACCATGCTTCTTTGTGTATGAGCACACTCTGTCCTTATGCAAGCATGTTAGTGCTTGACATGGCCTAAAGAGAGTACTTCAATTACACATGAATGAACCAACAAACATAAAGAGCAGCACTCTTACTTTGGCCCTCTTTTCAACCATCTCATAAAAAAATTACACAATAAAACTCAACCAGAGCCTCTCAGATGCAAATACTTGGCTGACAGTTCCAAGTAAGCAATTTCTAAAGTGCTTTGTTGTCTTAGTGATGTGAAACATTTCCGTTCTATAATTTTAATGGAGAATCAGTAAATCCAGCTGGAAATTATTTTGAATTTTACCTTTAAAAACACTTTTAGCACCCTGATCAGGCTGCTGGTGGGAAAACATAAAAAGGGAAAGAAAAAACAAAACAACTCTAAAATCAGATCGACAGCAATGTTTGCCAGAGAAATGCGACTACACAGGAAATTAGGCAGTAAGTACCAAGACCATGAAATGACTATTTTCGATATCCACCAGGAATAAATAACTAAAATGGAGGTATTTCATATAAACCTCTCAAAATGAAAGGGCCCCAGTAAAATTGCAAGTTTTATCACGCCAAAATTTACTAAACTATCAGCAAAAGATAATACATTTCATGTTGAGAAAATTAACCCAAATTCTAGTTGTCCTTTGCTGTCTTGCCTCCAAAACTTAAATCCAATGCGATAAAACCACATTTCCTGAGCAACTCAATCTCCCAGTGTGGCTTGAAAATATTTTCCCGAGAGCATTTTTTCTGTCTTATTCATTTGTTTATGCATAAATGCATTACATGCCAGTCTACCATTGTATACAGCGTTGTTGTCCACTTTTTAATTTGAGCTTTTATTTATGTTACAAAAAACACTTTAAAAAGGAAGCCTAATTTCTGCTATTTAATACCTAAGAAATATCAACTTTCACAGATGGTTCCAAAATATGCCAAACTGCAAAATGCATAGCTACGTCTTGACTAAAGCCTCTGTAACTTTGTTCTGTTTCATTTCAGCAGCATGAATCAGTCTGAAATGAAAAATATATATACTCTTAGTGTGTTTTCACATGTTATATTAATTGCATGTTCACTCACTATTTCCCATGATGATATAATATGCTTCCTTTGGTACTTTTAGTAAAAGCTTCTTTCAGCCGTTCCCTTATTCACAGAGGGTCGACACAGCAGATAGCTCCGCATATTTGATTTGACAGATTTTTTTTCACCGGATGCCCTTCCTGACACATCCCCGAAGGAATTTGTGTCCAACCAGGGACTTTATGTGTT